CCCCGCAGGAGGCTTCGATGGCTTCCAGGCCTGCTGTCCGGATCTGTGCTCCGAGGGTCCCGCCCCGGTGCTGCCCCCTACAGGGACCGAAAGCAGCAGCTCTGACCTCAGGGTTCCCGTCTATGACCAGGTGAGTCGAGGTCAGGGCTCCTTGGCACTGTCCCTTTCCTCGTCCCCTTGCTAGATAGGCGCCTCTAGGGAAAGGGAGAAGTCCGCCTGTGTACACCTTCACCTGCGTGTGCGTGTGTGGGGGGGTCCGGGAGTCTGGCTCTGTCCCAGTGTATTCTTTCTTTTTTGGTCCCGGTCTGTTCTTTGGGACTGAAGGGCACCTGTGTGTCCTCTGGGAGCCCAGCTCTTGGTCGGGGCACTGGCTGAGGGCCCCTCCTCCGGCCCTGGGTCAGCGTGGTGTGTCCCCGGGGAGGTGCTCAGCCCTCCAGGCCAGGGCTGGAAAGGTCTCACTGTCTGTCCTCCTCCTCCAGGGCGGCCCCGTGGAGATCTTGCCCTTCCTGTACCTGGGCAGCTGCAGCCACTCCTCGGACCTGCAGGGCCTGCGGGCCTGCGGCATCACGGCCGTCCTCAATGTGTCGGCCAGCTGCCCCAACCACTTCGAGGGCCTGCTCCGCTACAAGAGCATCCCGGTGGAGGACAACCAGATGGTGGAGATCAGCGCCTGGTTCCAGGAGGCCATCAGCTTCATCGGTAAGGGCGACCTCAGTCTGGGGCCTGGGGACTGCGGTGCTGGGGGAAGCTGGCGACACCCCTCTCCTGGCCGGTCCCTGACTGCCACCCCGTCTCTCTCAAAGACTCGGTGAAGAGCAGCGGAGGCCGGGTGCTGGTACATTGCCAAGCGGGCATCTCACGCTCCGCCACCATCTGCCTGGCATACCTGATCCAGAGCCGCCGGGTGCGGCTGGACGAGGCCTTCGACTTCGTGAAGCAGCGCCGGGGAGTCATCTCCCCCAACTTCAGCTTCATGGGGCAGCTGCTGCAGTTCGAGACGCAAGTGCTGTGTCACTGAGGCAGGGCATCTGCCAGCCCCGTACTGCCAGGCTCTGCTGGCGCCTGGGGGGCCCAGGGGTGGACATGTGGGGGCCCCTATGGCCAAGTGCATCCCTCAACTATGGTGGGGGGCTGCTGCCTCCTTTGAGCCTGAAAAGCCCCCAGGTGGGGACACTAGGAATGCAAGGATGCTGGCCTTTGTGACTGGGTGCTCTTCTGCGGGGGATTTAAGGGCTGGCCCTTATTCAGGGGACAAGGACAGAGGGCTCATCTCTCTCCAGCCCCTCCTCGGCAGGCAGAAATTAACTGGACTCTACACACTGGGCTCTGTGGTCCATGGCCAGGTTGAAGCCAGAGAGCCCGAAGGAACAAGCTGTGACAGCCGGGAGCCCCACGGGGGCGTCCTGGAGCCCGAGCCCTGTGCTCCTGAAGGAGCTGGGAACTCGGAAGTGACGTGTGTGCCACATAAAAGACCTCTTGCTTGCGTGTGTGCGTGAGCGTTTCTCGCCTGTGTTGGCGCCAGAAAGTTATTTGTGTCCAACTGACATTTAACACTCCCTCCCCCACTTCCTCCCGCCCCGTGGGCAGGGGTTGGAAACTTCGCACTTTATATTTATACAGAACATGGGGGGGTTCAATAAAATATTTGTTTTATTTAAAAAACAACTCCCCAGTGTCTTGTCTTCCATCTGTGGATCTTTTGCCCCTGAGAAGGCTCCGGAGCTGTTTCTCGATTGGGCTCTACTTCCCCTCCTCCAACAAAGGGCCAGAACCGGGGCCCAGCTCCGTCTTGGCCTGGGCCCTTGGCCCAGAACGGAAGCGGTGGGTGCTGGGAGGCCAGGACTCAGGACTGGACCTGGTGCCACCCTGATCAGACCCACTTGCTTTCTGATCACGGGATGGGTGTGTGTGTCCGCCTGTGTGGTTGGGCCCGTGGGAGTGTGCATGTGTATTCGCCTCAGGAATGTATGTCCCCTGTGTGTGACTTCCGGTGCCCGTGTGTGCCCACTTGTGAGGCTTCTTCCTTGCAGGAGGGCAGCACGGTCTGTCACATGTACCCGCGTCCCTAGCTGGGCCAGAGGCCTCAGAGTGCCCCTGTTCCAGAGCCCCTCCTTGTCCCCAGGAAGTGTGCAGCCCGGGGTCTGCGGGGAGGACATGTCAGTGGGGACTAGTAGCCCTCACAGCGGCCCGACTAGCTTCTTCCTGGACCTCAGGGAGGGGCCCGCACAGTGCCCACAGACTCCTGAGACTCGGCACCCTTGTGCCAGAGCAGAGCCAGTTTGTTTTTATGTTTTTGTTTTTTTTCTGTACAATGGATTGAATCCAGGGCTTTCCCACTTGAGCTTTTTAATCTGTTTAATTTTATTTTGAAACAGGGTCTTGCTAAGTTCCTCAGGCTGGGCTTGAACTTTCAGTCCTCCTGCTTTAGCCTCCCAAAGTGCCAGGACCACAAGTGTGCGCCACCGTGGCCCACGGGGAGCCGGTTTCGCTTAACTTCTCTGTGTCAGTTCTTCCACTGTGAAGTGGGCTCATCAGCAGCCTTAGAGCAGGCTGTAGACTTGGCCTGGCGCGTGTGCGGGAGGTTCGCTGCGGAAGCCTGGGAGTGGCCTGGGCTGGGAGCCATGTACAACATCCCGTGTGCATCTGGCCCAGGACAGATGCTCGTGAACGTCCCCATGGGAGGGCACTCACTCCATGAGGCCTGGGCCTGTCCCCTCTGCCCTCTGGGGGGACAGGGGCACTGTGGAGGGACTGAGCTGGCAGGTTGCTCTCAGCTTCCTCAGCTCTCAGCAGGCTTCTGCTTCTCGGGGTAAGTGGTGACATCTGCGTCCCAGTCACAGGCGCTTCCCACCCCGGAGCTCCAGCTCGCACACAGCAGGACTGGCAGCTGCGGCTTCAGGCCCTTCTCATTTCCCCGCCCCCTCCCCATGTGTTTTGCTAGTTTGTCTTCCACACAATTGAATGTTTCTTCCTCTCAATTTACTTCTTAACAAATGCAGCCAGGCATGGTGGTGCATGCCTGTAATCCCAGCACTTGGGAGGCTGAGGCAGGAGGATGCATGTATCCACAGTGAAATGACCCCAGAGCAAGCTCGTTTTTAAGTAGCAGGTCCATGATGTGCATGCGACCCATGCCAGTACCCTGTCCAGGCATCGGGGCACCTGCCTTCACCCCTCACCTTCCTGGGCTTCTATGTCCGTCTCTTGAGGAACACTGGGCTCCAGGCACACAGGGACAGGGAGATGAGACAACAGCAGCTGTCCTTGGCTGTCCCTTCCTTCCCTGGGCACTGGGGTGGAGTAGCTGCTCCCAAATTCTGCCAGGTGCCCACATGCTTACCCCTAGGATGTCAATCCCACTGGGTTCCTGGGTGGCTGGGCTGGCGACAGACAGCAGGAGGATGGGTAAGGAGCGTTACTTCCTGAGTCTGTGAGATGGAGACAAACGTGCGCTGCTCACGCAGGCTGTGGGTGAGGTGCAGGGGTCGCGTGCATGGTGGGTCTCAGTGTCCCAAGTTCCATCTTTCCTGCGCGGCAGTCTTCTCTGGGTGCTGGTGACAAGGGGTGTTCAGGATGAGAAATATCAGGGAGCCCTGCACTTGTGATTGTGAATCAATCCTCTCTCACTCCTCGGGCTTTTTGGGACAGGGTCTCATTATCCAGCCTGGGCTGGCCTTGAACTTGTGATGATCCTCCCGTCTCAGCCTCCAAAATGCCGGAATTATGGGTGTGTGTGCCCCCACACCCTGCTTGTGATCCTTCGCCTTTTGAAACAAATAGCAAAATAAAGGGTGTGGTGACTTTTCCTCTGTCCAGGTATCCTGGGGAACCCTGGGGGCTTTTCCCATGCCTGAATTTGAGGTGAGGCACGGTAAAGGGTTTCCCTGGCTGGAGGATGAGGGAGCCTGGCCTGCAGCACCTCATGGCCCAGAACATCCTTCTACAAAGCTGCTCTGCCCTCTGGTGGCAGGAGGAGACCTCAGCAGAGCCGCACGCTCACAGGGCCCGGCAGGTGCATGGGTCCCGAAGGCGGTGGCCTGGGCTCCCGCCACAGGCAGGAGGGGAGGGGTCACACGTGGAGGTGGTTGGGGGCAAGGTGGAGGTGGTTGTGTGGTGGACGTGGCAGGTGGAGGTGGTTGTGTGGTGGAGGTGGCTGGGGGGCTGCAGGTGGGGGCCGGAGTAGCTGCTATTTAAGGGGGGTGGTGCTGAGCCTGTGAGCTGGTTGCCTTGTCCTGCTGGGACCGGTCCTCTTGCTTTCTGAGAGGCTGGTGGAGACCCGCCACAGGGAGCATGGGAGGCCTGTGGCCCTGGGTGCTGGGTCTGCTCTCCTTGCCAGGTAAGCAGCGCCAGACCTCGAGGTGCCGGGGGAGGCCAGGAAGGGGTGCGGGGTTTCCTTGAGCTTCTCAGTTCTCCAGGGTGTTCCTAGAAGAGCCCCGGCCCCAAGAGGAGAGCCCAGAAACCCTGAGGGCAGCAGGGTACAGGTGTTGCACCCCAGACTGCCTTGTTTTGGGGTATGGGTTTCCACGCCAGCCTGGCTGGGGCGGGCGTCAAGTTCCCTGGGCTGAGCTCTTTCCTAAAATCTCAAGCTGAGAAAGGGAGCCCAGGAGTAGGGTCTGAGCCTGGCCCTCATTCAGGGCACATGTCTTTTAAAATTCTTTTGGTGGCACTGGGGATTGAACCCGGCACCTTTGCACTTAGTTACATCCTCAGGTCCCTTTTAAAACTTTTATTCTGACACAGGGTTGCCCTAAGTTGATAAATAGCCCAAACTTGCCATTCTTCTGCCTCAGCCTCTCAGAGTGCTGGGGATGATGGGTCTACATTACCAGCCTGGCTAGCACACGACTTTTTGAGCCCAGGGTTAGGTCCTTGAGGAGCCCTCCCTCCTTAAAGTTGGCACCTTGGTGCTTGTTGAGCTGGGCCAGGCCAGGTAGGCCTCTGAAACTCAGGCTGAGCCATCTGTCCTCAGGGGCTGGGGCTGGCAGCCACCCCATGTCTTGCTGTAGCGTTTCCGCTGGGACCCTCAGGTACCCATGTGTCTGCACTGTGTCTGGGCCAGGTGTGATCCTCGGAGTGCTCCCAGCCTCCCAGTGTGCAGGAGACTGCAGCGCCAGCTTCCTGGAAGACCTCACCCCTGAGGGGACCCCAGCATCCTGGGACAAGGATATCCCTGCTATTAACCAAGGTGAGGGCACTGCGTCTCCTAGTGGCCTGGAGGGGCATGACACTGTCCCTGGGCTGTGAAAAAAATGGCTCTAGCATTTGGATGTGCAGGAAAAGCTGGGAGGAAATGTACCAGCTCACTCAGCCGGTTCTAAGCAGGAGGAGTCCTACTGGTCAATGCTTAAAGCTGTTTTTCTGTAGCTTTTCTGGTGGACTGTTGTCTTTTCTTTTTTTGACAGTGGGGCAATTCTGGCGATTGAATGCAGGGCCTCTCAGTGGGCTACATCCTCAGCTTTTTTGTTTTAAGAGAGTGTTGCTAAATTACTAGGTTGTGATTCTCCTGCCTCAGCTTCCCAGAGTGCTGGGATTGTAGATGTGTGCCACCACATCTGGCTAAGACTACAGGTCTTAAAATGGCCTGGCAAGAGTATAAGGCACGGGGTCTCAGCCTGGAAGTTGCACTAAAGTCATTAGCAGATGTTTGAGAAGGTGTCAGCTACCCTGGGAGAGAGAGTTTGCAGATGTGGCCTGGCCTGCTGCTCGGGGCTTCCTTTTCGGGCATCTCAGCCAAGAACAAGGACACACAGTCGGGCTGGGACAAAGCACACGGAGGGTCGGAGTTCAGATGTTGCTGCCATCGTGGGCCCAAGTATTGGGAGAGCGGGGGTGACTGTGCCCTCCGATGGACTCTAAGTGGATGCGGTGGCCATCGTGTGGTCTGCGCCCTTTTTCTCTGTGCTGGGTTGGAGCCTGCACTATTGTTGAACCTGCAGAGGACGCCATTCCCGTCTCTGGCCACTGTGGAAGGTCTGAGGGAGCCAGAACCCTGAGGGGAGCCTCCCCTGGTGCTGACTTTCAGATGCTATGGGGAAATTCCATGCTAGTGACCCCAGTGCCCTCCGGTCTCCCTCCGGGAGTCCCCGCAGTGGCTAAAAGCCCCCACACCCTGCCCAGTGGCCCTGCCTGAGAAGCTGGGCGTCCCCAGCTGCGAGCGTGATGGCTGCTGATGGCTCCCAGCTGGGCCGGATCCCAGGAGGTCTCTGAGAGCCACTCCTCCTCGTTGCAGTGGCCCATGGTGGCTCAGAGGGATAGGAGCCTGGCCCCTCCCTCGAGGTGGGATGTACCTGTGCTGCTGTTTGTGGTCTGAGCCCGTGTCCTTCCCTGGTCCTTCCCGAGACCTCTCCTTTGGAAGTCAGTTGCAGGAGGGGCTGAGAAGCCAGGGCGAGCTGGGCCGGGAGGGGGCGTGCGGGAGCTGGCTTCGCTGCTTCCTGTGTGGTACGGGTGAGGTTCTGACCTTGGCAGCTTGAAGTCCTGGATGTGCCCACATCACACAAGTAGGGTTCGCCTGGGGATGAGTGGGGACCCTGGCGCAGGTTCTGAGCAGCGCAGCTGGGAATGGGGCTGGGGGACCCAGCCGGGAGAAGGCCCTTCCAAGCATGGGCGACCTGGAGTGGGATGGGAGCCCAAGCGGCCGTGGGCTGTGTTTGTGCAGGAGAAGGATGCGACAGGGCTGGGCCTCAGGGGCTGTGCAACGTGCCCAAGGCCACCAGCCTCAGTACTCGGGGAAGCCCTGCTCCAAAGTCGAGTGATGCACAGGCCTGGGGGCTTCAGGACGCAGCAGCTGCGGCCCTGCTGGGCCTGTCCCCACAGCCAGTGTTGAGGGGGCCATGGGCCAACACACATCCCCGTCTTCCTCCTCCCAGGGCTCATCCCGGAGGAAGCCCCAGACGGCAGCTTCCTTGTGGAAGGGGACATCATCCGGCCGGTGAGTGCACACCCCAGGGCCCTCTGAGCTCCGCTGCGGGAGAGGCCTGTCTCACAGCTGGGTAGTCACCTCTTTGTCAAGGTCAGGGTAGCTGCTCTATGAGGAAAAGAGCATGGGCACTAAGGGAGGGTGGCCACTGAGGTAGCATCACTTTGAGCCAACAAGGGCTTCCTGGAGGCAGAGACGGGAGACCTCATGATCCTGCTGGGGACCCAGCCCAGGGCAGATGCTCAGTGTCTTGGTTACTTTTCTCTCATTGCTGAGACAAAATACCTGATGCCCAAAATCAAGGAAGGAAAGGTTCATTTAGCTCACAGTTTATGGAGGCTTCAGTCCATACTCGGCTGGCTCCAAGGCAGGGTGGCACATGGCACAGGGCAACAGTTCATGGCAGCAGAAAGCAGCAAAAGCAACAATAGCGAACAGGGAAAAGTGGCGGGGGGCAAGGCTGTTTCCCTCCCTTCTGTTGTATGCAAACTACCAGCCCCAGGGCGGGTGTAGCACTCACACCCATAATCCCAGCATTGGACTATGCATTAATCAAAAATCTAGGAGCCCGCCCCATGACTGCATGAGGATTTGGGGGGACATCCAGACCCAAACCATAACACCCAGGAACAGCGAGATGAACACAGGCAGCGAGGAGTGGCATGAGGGGTGAGAACCTGGGTGGTCTCCATGACTAGGCGAAGCAGCACAGGGAGGAATGCGGAACGATCACCTTGGCAGGCAGGCAGAGGGAGAGGCTGCGGGACTGGAGTGGCTTGCTGGTGGACAGGGAGCAGCATTGTCAGGGGTAGTGGTGCACCCTGTAATCTCAGAACTTGGGAGGCTGAGGAAGGAGGATCTCTGAGTTCAGGGCCAGCTTGAACCATGTGGTGAGATCTGAGTTAGGAAGTGGCAGGGAAAGCAGGGCTGTCCTGCTGGGTTGGCAGTGTCCCCTGGAGGTGGGATGGGAGAGCTGAGGCCCACAGCCATGTCCAGGTTATCCAGTGAGAGCCGAGGAGGAGGACACTGCTGTGACTGGCAGAGCGGGATGGAGCCCCATCTTGGGCGGCAGGAGGGGCAGGGCCACTGAGAGCTGGGAGGAGTTCTGGTTCAGGGAGTGGTGGGGAAAGGGTGTCACCCTGGTAGGACCCTGTCCCCACCCTTCCCCTCTTCCGGGTGGCCGTGCTTTGCCGAGGTGCTAGGGTGGGGCTGCCGGCTGGAGCTCTGGGTTCCTCTGAGCCAGGCATCCTGGGGTGCTGGGACCTCTGCTGACCTCAGCCACCTGCAAGTTCTGTCATCTCAGACAAGGCTGTGTCTTGGGCATCACGGTCCCCACGCTGGCCCTTAACTCCCCGCACTTCTGCCCCCACCCCACCTCTCACATCTGTAGCGGCCCAGGGCATGGACACAAAGTTTCGGTGGCCTGTGTCCCCTGAGCTGCCCTCTCTCCTCAGAGTCCCTTCCAGCTGTTGTCGGTGACCGACAATAAGTGGCCTAAAAGTACTGGTGGCGCCGTGGAGGTCCCCTTCCTGCTGTCCAGCAAGTATGGTGAGCACGTGTGGCATGGACCTCCTCACAGCGCAGCCCCTTCCTGCCCGGGTCTTCTCTTCCTTCTCTCCCGTGTGGCCACATCCCCCCACCCCGTAGAGCTCTTCCATGGGCACTGGGAGGGTGGCATCCGACTGCACCAGGGGGCATATGGGGGCCGTCTGGTCCCCTCAAGACACGTGGTCACATTAGATTCTCACAGGGGCGTGGCAAACCCTACCATGAACTTTGCATGTGAGGGATCTGGTTCGCTGCCCACCCCCAAATCTATGGAAAAATCGCCTTCCACAAAACCCACCTCTGGTTCCAAACGCGCTGGGGACCTCTGGCCTCACGGGCCTGAGTCCTGTCTGTGGCAGGGCCTCAACCAGGGTGTGTCGTCCCCAGACGAGCCCAGCCGCCGGCTCATCCTGGAGGCGTTTGCCGAGTTTGAACGTGTCACGTGCATCCGGTTTGTCGCTTACCAAGGCCAGAGAGACTTCATCTCCATCATCCCCATGGCCGGGTGAGCGGGGCGGCACAGGCGGAGCTGGCTGCCGGGTCTGGCTGGAGTGCGCCAAGCTATTTCTGGGCCAGCTTGTGTCCCCACTCCCTGCCTGCCCCTAAGGGTGTGCCCGGGGTGAGCACCCGGCGCCCCAGGTGGGGACCCTGGCCTGCAGAGCGCTGTCTCCCAGAGGCGTTGTGGAGAACTCTGGGCAGGGCCTACACTGCGTGAGCCGCTTGAGTCCAAGGGAGTCCCCTAAGGTCCCAGCCCCTCCTCCCTTCTCTTCTGGGGGAGTGGCGACACCTCGCTTGTTAGGGACCTGAGATGAGGGGCATGGGCGCTGTGCCCTGGGGGTTCTGATGTGGGTCCACTCAATGAACTGGGTCTGTCATCCCTGTCAGTGTCACTTCCCACCTCTTCTTGGCATCCCAGGCCAGCAATGAGGCTTCCTTTGCCCATTTTCCCCAAGCACAGGCTGTCCAGGGAAGGGAGAGGGCCATAAACCTGGGCCTAGAGTCTGGATGGGGACCACCTGTCTGGTGCCCTTCCATCCCGGGACCTGGCACGGGACCCGCCTGCTCCGTGCCTTGCCTGGGTGGCACGCAGCCAGCTTGCTGTGGTGTCTTGCAGGTGCTTCTCTGGCGTGGGCCGTAGTGGAGGGATGCAGGTGGTGTCCTTGGTACCCGCCTGTCTCCGCAGGGGCCGGGGCATCGTTCTGCACGAGCTCATGCACGTGCTGGGCTTCTGGCACGAGCATGCGCGAGCTGACCGGGACCGCTACATCCGTGTCAACTGGCATGAGATCCGGCCAGGTAAGCCAGCGAGGCCCGGGTGCAGATGGGATGCCCCTTGCTCCCTGAGTACTCAACCTGAAGTTATGCTGGATGTTCCACTCGGGGGGCAAGGGCAGGGTCTGCTCACCAGCCAGGGACACTAAGCCAGAGCAGAAGCCTGGGACATAGCAGGCTGCCTGTGCCAGGTGAGGGGCAGAGGACAGCTCTGCAGTGCTGTGCAAGAGACAGGTGCTGAGGGGGAGCCGAGGCAGGCTGGGAGGCTGAGGTGGGCGGAGGAGGAGGAGCCCCTGCTCGGATACCAGCAAGCAGCAGCTGTGTGTGGGGATCAGATCCCTGCCCTCGAGGGCTCACGGCCTGGTCCCGGAGGTAAGGAGAAGACGGACAGCAGCCTGGTGCAGGTCAGTGCGGAGGAGATGCGTGAGCCCTGGAGACAGGATGTGCAGGGAGACGCAGGGCTTCCCGCAAGCGTCAGGGCCTGTGTGGGCCTCTCCTGCTGCAGAGCTGTGGCCCAGGGGACTGCCGAGGGCCAAAGAGCAGTGTGCACGGATTCCCCAGAGCCTGGGGCACTCAGAGGCACGCAGGGGTGGGGACTGAATCAGACCTGGCTGAAGAAGTGTGCGTGGTGTGTGTGTGTGTGTGTGTGAGAGAGAGAGAGAGAGAGAGAGAGAGAGAGAGAGAGAGAGAAAGAGACCAGGGACACTGACCTCTCAAGGGCCCCTCATAGCCGTTTGCCCTGTGACAGAGTGTGAAAAACTCCCCACTTGAAAAAGCAGACTCCGTACAGACATTCTGATCAGGAGACAAAGTAGACCCTGATAACACAGCCTCTGCCTACTCCCACTTGGAAGTTAAAATGAGAAGTAACAAGCCTTTGTGTCAGCGCTGAAGAGAAAGAAATCGCAGGGATTCTTAAAGAATGAAAATCATGAAACGCTCCATTAAACCACTGCTTCCTGGCTAAGGCCATGCTCAGGGAGAATGTGTAGACGTAGCTAGCTGTAGCCATACAAAGAGAAAACAGACAAATTAAAGGCGCCAACTTCAGTGAAGAGAAATAAATGCCAGCGGGAGGGAATGGAAGGGAAAAGCAGAAGTGGGTGGGTAGCAAGGCAGCATTAAGGACCGTGAGAGCTGTTCTAACACAGTCGGCTGAACACCAGCCACGCTGCGCTGGGGACACAGCTCGGCAGCACAGTGCCTGCCTGGCATGTGTGGCACCCTGGTGCCATCCCCAGGAACACCCAAACCCAAACAAAACCCACTAGTTACCTTAGTGGGGAAAATGTGATTTCTCCTGATAACACAGAAAAGTGAGAATACATTTGCATTTTAGTTAATGTGTCCTGAATGAAGCTATTAGCTGCCCCGGGGAAGGGAAGGTAGGATCTCAGAGGAAGGGGAATGAAGTAGGAGACTTTGACTAGGAATCTTTAAATAATTCATTTTTGATTCAGATGCATATGTTGCCTGTTAAAAACTGTGTTTAAAAATAAAGGGGGCTGGGCATAGCGGCATAAACCTGCAATCCCAGCTATTCAGCAGGCTGAGGCAGGAGGATCACATGGTTGAGGCTAGCCTGAGCAACTTTTTTTTTTTTTTTTTTTTTTTTTTTTGATACAGGGTCTCTATGCAGTTGAGACAGGATCTTGTTTACTATGTAGTGCAGGCTGGCCTTGCCCTTGCTTATGTAGCCCAGGCTGGCCTTGAACTGGTGATCCTTCTGCCTCAACCTCCCAAGTGCTGGGATTACAGGTGTGCACCACCATGCCCAGCTTGAGCAATTTATTGAGAACCTGTCTCAAAATAGGAAGGGCTGGGAATGGAGCTCATCGCTCCCTGGGTTTAATCCCCAGTACTGCAAAAGCAAAGAACTCTAGGGTGTGATACTTCAGGCAGATAGAGGTACTAGAATGCTGACCTACCTAGTGATAAGGGGGCTGGTGGTTACCCTGGGGAGGAGGAGGGTACGGATGTCACTGCTGCTGGGTCTGAGGGGGCGGTGGGCAAGGATGAAGGGCACAGCCGTCCTTTCAGGAGTTCACTCTGCAGGGCAGGAGGGAAGCCGGCCCCTCCCGGGCTTGGAGGGTCCCATGACAGGGGGACATTGGCACTGGCCAGCCAAGGTGGCAGTGGGATTGTGGGGGATTTGCGGGCTGAAGCAGGATGATCAAGTGCTCTGCGGGGAGGCCTTGAGCCCCAGACTTGGAGAAAGCAGATCTGTAAAGCTGGGCGGAGGGGTGGACTGGTGTGAGGCGTCCAAGCCGTGCCTGGCAGCCTATGGCTTCTAGGATCTGTGGGTGGGGGAAGTCGGTTCTACCCACGGCAGTGCACTTGGGTGGAGGAGGGGAGATGGAGCGGGGAGCAGTGACCGGCTTCGAGGTCCCTCTGCTTCTGCCCGCCCTGGTGCAGAGCTGGATCCCTCCGGGGCTTGAGGAGGGCAGGGGACAAGGACAGGCGGGCAAGGCTCACACTGGGCTATGGTCTCAGACGTCTCAGCTAGGTGGGTTATAAACGCCTAGAAGTCTCCCCTGGTTCCCTTGCCTGCTGCTCACTCTCCGTGCATTTCCAAGTTTTTTTTTTTTTTTTTAGGCTTTGAAATCAACTTCGTCAAGTCTCGGAGCAGCAATATGCTGGCGCCCTATGACTACTCATCCGTGATGCACTATGGGAGGTGAGTGGGCTCCTCCCCTCCAGCCTCCCGGTTCCCGCCCCCTGCCCTCCCGGCTTCTGCCACCTGACCCTGACGCTGGGCACCCTGGTTTCCAGGCTGGCCTTCAGCCGGCGCGGGGAGCCCACCATCATTCCGCTCTGGGCCCCCAGTGTCCACATCGGCCAGCGGTGGAACCTGAGCGCCTCGGACATCACCCGGGTCCGCAGGCTCTACGACTGCAGCGCAGGTGGCCCTGACTCCCGCGGCAGAGGTGAGTGGTGCGCAGGGGTCGGGCGAGGGAGGTGCGGGGGTAGGCTGCAGGAGGCCGTGGGGCAAGGCCACTGGATGCTCAGCTCGACCGACTTAGAACAAGCATCTGAGAAAAGTTGACACTGCATGTCATTAAAACCTCTCAGCAAATACAGAGAGGCAATTTTCTTAATTGAGGAAGTGGGCATCTGCCAAAGACCTAGAGCCATCGTGATTTTTAATGGGAAAGCAGTAAAACTAGGAGGAAGATGAGTTTTCCCACTGTTGTCCACTCCACACCCAGTGGAGACCCCAGCCACTGCGGTATGACGGGAAAGAGGAGGCGAGGGCTGGACAGCAAGGAGAACCGTCACTAAGCAGAGGCCGTGTGCTGAGAGCAGGAACATCCATAAACAAATTGCTAGAACTGAGATAACTTTACAAGGTAAATGGATCGATATATAAGAATCAAAGCTGGGAGGTAGCTCAGGGTAGTGCAGGCCTTACGTGGGCAAAGCCCAGGGTTCAATCCCCAGTCCTACACACAACCCCCAAATGAATGAATTGTATTTCTATGTAGCCTCAGAAAAGATTATAATACTGATAATAAAAATAAGATCCCAAGGAAGAAAAGTGACAGAGCTATATAAAATGTCTACGTGTAAAAAACATGTATTTATGCATTGCAACTTCTATGTCCATCCCTTTAACCCAAATAAAGCAAATTTAAGAGAAAATAAAAATAAAATCTATTTAAAAAGTACTAAATAGGGCTGGGCGTGGTGGCACATGCCTGTAATCCTAGCACTTGGGAGGCTGAGGCAGGAGGACTGCCTTGAGTTTGAGGCCAGCCCAGACTACGTAGTAAATTCAAGGCCAGCCTGAACTACACAGTGAGTCCCATCTCAAAAAAAATTTTTTTAAATACATATGCATCATAGTTAATGATAGGAAGACAAAGTTTTATAAGTTAAAATTTCTCCAAATTGAGATAGAGATTTCAATAAATTCTCACTCAAAATTCCAATAAGCTGATAATAATGGGAGAATCTAATTCTAAATTTATATGAAGACCCAATAATGGTCAAGCACAGGGACTTACTGCAGCACATGTCACTGTTTTTAAAATGTCTTCATGTAAATGAAAGATATCCAAAATATATAAGCATATATGTCTACAGCATCTGTAGTGTATATGGCATCTATAGAAATGGACAGCACTGGTTCAGGGATAGACAGCCGCTCCTGGGAACAGGATGGGAAGTTCTTCAGTGGACCCCACCCCAAAGTGGAACCTCCCTTATAGGAGGGACTGTTGGTCTCTTGGGAGAGTCTGGTTAGTCACCACATGGTTCTGAGAAAACCCAGTGTCTGCTTAGGGACATGAACGCCTAACTCACATTATGCATAGGTATATTCCTATGATGCACAGATAATGTAGAAAAGACTTACATGGACATGGAAAAACTTTAAAACATTTAGAAGAGGGCTGGGGAGACTGCTCAGCGGCACAATACCTGCCTGGTAAGTGCAAAGTCCTGAGTTCAATTCCTGGTACAAGAAAAAAAAATTATAGAAGAGAATATAGCAAGATGTCTTCATAACCTTGGGATGGGGAGGATTTCTTTACTAAGACAAACAACCATATGCCATATGATTCATAAATTTAACTATGTTAACCATAATGACCTTCAAGAGATACAAGTCAAAAATACAAGCTACAAACTGGGAGTCTTGGCAACCTCTAACTGGTTGTACAGGGAATACATAGAGAGACTTTAATAAGAAAGACAAACCACCAAATAGGAAAGTGGACAGGAAACCAAACGGACCTCTCAGAAGAAACTAATGTGACACGAACACCCAAGACGGGCAGCCCCGTTAGTAACTGAGGAAATGAAGGTGAGGACTACATACCATTTCCCTTCCCTGGGTCGGCAGAAATTAAAATCCTGACAGGACTAAACACTGGGAAGGGTTTGGAGCAATGGACACTGTTCATAGCTCCCAGATTGGAGTGTAAGTTCTGCAACCATTTTGGAAAAGTCTTTCACTCCTCGTGAGGCTGGGGTGTAGACGCATCACTTAGATTCCACTTCAAGTCATTTCACATGTGATGTTCCCTCTCTTTCTGTCTCAGCCCCAGCTAATCACTAATCTTTCAGTCTTTATGGGCATTTCATACAATCATAGAATCATGTAATCATATCGCTTTTAAATAAACCAACTCCAAGCTGAGTGTGGTGGTGCACACCTGTAATCCTAGCACTTAGGAGGCTGAAGCAGGAGAATTGCTGGGAGTTAAGACCAGCTTGTGCTACATAGCAAGACCCTGTCTCATGCCCCGCCCCATATCTCACCCATTCCCCAGTCTATATGTGGCTTTCATCAGTTGATGAGCACTTGGGTAGTTTCTACCCTTTGGCTATTATGAACAGTAATATTGTGAATGTGCAAGATTCTGGATCAACCTGTATCTTTTCAGTATATACCTGGGAGTGGAATTGCTGGGTCCTATGGTAACTCCATCCTACTGCTACTGAATTGCTAAACCCTTTCCAAAGTAGCTGCACTGTCTTCCTTCCCACCAGCAAGTAGGAGAGTACCAGTTTCCTCACATCCTTGCCCACCCTTTTAATCTATCCTTTGAGTATCACCGTCCTCATGGGTGAAAAAGAATCTCACTGTCGTTTGATTTGTGTTTCTCTAATAACTAATGATGTTGAATGTGCTAACTGGCCACTTGTGTGTGTTCTGTGGAGAAGCAGATGTACAGACCCTTTGCCTGTTTGGTGGTCTTTTCCTTGCTGAGTTGCAAGAACTGTTTATATATTCCTTATCTATTATGTTATTTGGAAATCTTTGCATATTCTGTGGGTGTTTTTTTCACTTTCAAGATGGTGTTCTTTGAACAGTAACACTTTTTTTTTTTTTTTTTGAGACAGGGTCTCGCTATGCAGTTCAGGCTGAACTTGAGCTCACTTTGTAGCCCAGGCTGGTCTTGAACTTGCAATGATCCTCCTGCCTCAGCCTCCTGAGTGCTGGGATTAAAAGTGTGTGCCACCACTCCCATCTAACACATTTAATTTTGAAGCCCAGACTTTATATCATTTATTGTACTTTTGGTACATGTCTAAGAAGGTATTGCCTAAGGTTGTAAAGATTTGTGTCTGTATTTTCTTCTGTTAGGTCTTACATCTAGGTCTGTGATCCATCTGTGGTTAACTTGGGTATGGTCTGTACAGTGGGAATTAGGGGTCTTTTATTTTTTGCATGTAGCTGTGTGGTTGTCTCAGATTCACTTCTTAAAGTTTTTTTATTTTTTGAGACAGAGTCTCACTCTACAGTTCAGGCTGGCCTTGATGCACTACATAGCCTAGGCTGGCCTCAAACTCATGTCATCCTCCTAGCTTGGCCTACTGAATGCTGGGATTGCAGGGGTGCACCACCATGCCCAGCTTTCTTAAAGATGTTTTCCCCTATACTCACATATCTTACTGTAGCGAATATCATATCTTTTTTTAAATTAAAGGAGATAATATGAGGGCTTTGTGGTCGATTCTAGAGGTGTGGCTATATCACCAGGAGCAGGAAGCCGGGAGGTGGCCGGGAGGGCACTGGTCGAGGGAAGGTTCTGTGGGGACAGCAGGCACAGTGATGTGTTCAGGTATTGAAAGGGTGACCATCTCGGAGAGAGAAGGGGAGGCTACAGGAGAGAGGGAAGATCAGTCAGAACGTTTAGGAGGGGCTTCCTCAGCCCTAGCAGGAAGGGGTCAGGAGTGGACCAGAGTCTGCATGTGGGTCTGGAGATGCGGATCGCAGCCTCGGTCCTGCAGTGAGGGAGGCTCTCAGTAGAGAGGTGGGAGGAGCGGGGCCATAGAGAAGGTACAAAGCACCAGCTAGACAGGAGATGAAACCTGGCAGAGGCGCGAGGTTGGAGGGAGGGTCATGCAGGGGGGGAGCCTGCTCTGTCCTCCAGGGTCAGGCTGGGGCAGGCAGGTGGGGCAGGGCAAGTGGCCCAGGATGCCCCCCAGGGAGGGACAGTATGGAGAGCTGTGGATGTGGAGGCAGGGAGGTGAGGCCCAGGAGTGAGGGAGGAGCTGTGGATGGATCCCCTGGTCGGGCCAGCGTCTGCAGGGAGAGGGGCCACAGGAACGGTTCTGGACGACGTTCTGGACGTGGGCGAGACTGGGGGTCACTGCGCACAGAGCTGTCCAAGGAAGGCTGCACACCTGGGTTGACATCACAGGTGCCCAGGACGTGAAGGGAGGTCCCAGAGCCCTAAGCCGTGGCATCTTGGGTGGTGACATCAGGGGCCAGTGGGGGGAGTTGGGTGGCTCTGCTGTCTTGCTCCTGGTGGTGATGTAGGAGTTAGGGTCTGAACAGTACTAGGCGGAGGCTTAGCAGGGACCTGGTGGCTTATCACCTGAGCTGGGCTCCGTGTCCCCTGAGATAGGCCAAAGCCAGCTTGGACTCTGTGAGGGCCACACATCTTCCTTCTGTGATTCTGGGACCTGACTCTTGTCTCCTGCTCCAGGGTTCCAGGCGCGCAGCAGTGGGAAGAGCCCCGTGCCTGCCTCTAGACCTTACCTGCAAAGACTCCTGGAGGCACTGCCGGGGGAATCCAGGAGCCCCGAGCCCAGTGGCCCTGGGGCTGGCGGCCAGCGTGTTGCTGCAGGACCTGGAGAGAACCCCCAGGGCTGGGAGCCCCCTGCCTGGAGAAGGTTCAGCGCGGCGATCTTGGGAAGGCCACCACAGACCCTGGCTTCCTCCCCAGGGTCAGGGCTTCGAGCAGGGGCACCGGGCATGGTTCTGGAGCCGTCCTGGCTCGCCCAGTTGCCCACGGAACCTCCAGCTCCATTTCCAGAAGCCAGAGAGCAGCTGCCACCTGTGCAGGCTGCTGTGGAGAGCCCAGATCGATCAGGAGGCTGGGAACCTGGAAGCCGCTTCAGGCGGATGCCCGGAGCTTGAGTCGGTGGCTTCTGTCCCCAAAGACAGAGCACGTTCTGCCTGGAGCAGCTGGGTCATCCGACCCTTGGTCCCTCTGGGCAGCACCCTTGTCTTTTAGCCCCAACCCAGCCAGTCTCTTAGCGGCCTGGGCTGTCCCCTGTGTCCCTTCCCCAAGGGCTCCTAGGGACAGAGGGGCCCTGTAGGTCTGTTGTGGAAGGCAGGCCTGGCTTGACTTGCTCTTGTTTTTGCTCCAGCCCTTGTGGCTGCAGAGAATGGCAAGAACCTGAGAACCCGAATAGAGGACTAGATGTTCTGTCTGCCTCTGGTCGCTGTTTCAGGACCCCTGCCCTGAGGGGACACGACAGGGGTTGCCCTACTTGTTCTCCTTCAGCCAAGCGCCACTCCTCCCCTTCCCCAGCCCCGATGACCCTGCGTGGTTCCAGGAGCAAAGCCACTCTCTGGGTGCATCCCAGTCTCCAGGGGTACCGTGCTAGGGACCGGCTGCCAGTCAAGGGCGAGAGCGAGCCAGGGGCCTCAGCTGTTAGGGGGAAGCAGAAATAAAGTGGGGTGTGTGCTGTGAGCTCTGTGCCGTGCTGACTCACACAGGTGAGCCCTGGGTGACCCCTGGGGGTTCCACCCTCTTTCCAGAGGGGCAGACAGACTTCGGGGAGTACGCAGACCTGCTCAAGGCACCACAGCTAGGGAGCGGGGCCTGAGGCCAACGTTGGTCCCAAAGTTCCAGCCACAGTGTGGCCTTTGCCGGCTCCTGTGGGGGTCATGTGCTGGGGCTGTGTTGGGGGGCTGTGGGGACATGCTCACAGGTGGGTCAGCAGGGGACATGCAGGACAGTAGAAACATGTTGTGTCCCCTAGAGGAGCCCTGGGATTGCATGGAACTCCCCCAGAGTTTACATAAGGGGAGCAGGGCCTGTGCCACTTATGGCCCCATGTACCTTATGGCCCTCTGTCATGGGACACACCCTGTATGTCGCAGGCTGGTTAGCATCTTTGCCTTCTACCACCTACTACCAGTTGAAACCTCCTTGTCTCGTGTTGTGACAGTCAAAGGTGTCTCCAGACATCATCCCGTGTCCCTTGTGAGGACTGCTGAGTTAGAGGTGGGAGAAGAGGCTGAGTCAGGGTGGTGTCTGAGGTAGGAACAGAACCTGAGTGTTGGGGAGAAGAGAGTGCTCCCTGTATCCCATCCCACTGAGAAACGACAAAGGAAGACAGACCTGGGCCTGGCCTTGGGGGCCTCCTGGGGGTTATGGAGAGAGTGGGAGGATCAGGAATGGCACAGAAGCAGGTGGCAGCCACTAGCCCCGGAGGAGGAGGCAGGGACTGGGCAGGAGGGGTTGCCAGGGGAGTGGAGTCCTCGGTGATGGGGCCGGGGCTGGACTGCAGGGACCAGGGAGAGCACTTGTCCTTGGAATCCATGCAGGCGGGCACAGAGGTTGGGGCTGTGGGTGGCAACCTGCCTGGTGGCTTCGGTCTCTTCCAGAGGACCAGGAAGGTCACAGCACGGCGGGAGGGACGCAGAGCTAGAGAGGGAAATGAGCGTGCTAGTAAAGTGGGGAGACTTGTAGTGAACTAGAATAGGGGAAGGATTCAGGCTTGGCCAGGCTGGGGCTCTGTCGGGGACACGGAGAGAATGACAGGTGGTGAGTGGGAGGCTGGGTTGCAGAAGGTCCCTGGGGATGCGGCTCCCAGTCCCTGGGAGCAAAGCAGGGTGTGCAGCCCATGGGCATCAGTCCTGGTGGTGCCATCCAGGGCAGCAGCTGCTGGGGCTCCCCCGCCCAGACACCTCTGCCACCTCCTCACCTCAGAACTGGGGAAGGTGGACTCCAGGGCTTTTGGCTAAGTTGTCTCATTTCCTGTTAGGGTCTCACAGCCAGGGTGGGGACAATGGCCTCATGTTTCTGTGGAACAAATGGCACTGCTTTCGTGCTGGGTCACCTTTCCCCCATGACCCTCTTTCCAAGGACGCTTGGGCACTGCCGACGGGGCTCAGCTGTGTCACACACATGAAGGAGCAGAGCCCTGGGCCAGAGGACAGGAGCTGCTCCGCCGTCCCTCGCCATCCAGCAGCCTCGCCGGGTGGGGGACAGGGCCGGGATGTCCGCTTGGAAGGAGGGTAACGGTGCAGTGAACCCTTTGCACCCCATCTGGGCACGGTGTGCTGAATATGAAAGTGGGGTGCATGCTCGGTATCGGGGACCTTAGAAAAGAGGACCTCCCTCTGTCTGGGGACAGGTGGTGACCTTAAAGAGCGAATGTGCGCCCCAGACAGAAGGCAGGGGGAAGAGGGGTGTCCGGCAGAGCAAACAGCCCCAGGAAAGACTGGGGTGCGGGGACTTGGGGCATGTGCAGGCGGCACTGGTTTGGTGGGGTAGCGGCAGAGCGGCGGGGCCCTGACCGCACACGCCTGTGCGGTGTGACAGTGGGAAGAGCCGAAGACTCGCGTGGGCAGCCAACGTCTGCAGGTGTGTAGGGGGAGGGGCGCTGCAGACAGCAGAGGGATCAGTTACGCAACAGCACCAAGCACAGCACTCACGGTGGGTCTGGGAGGAAGGGGCCGTGGTGGTCGCAGAAGGGATTACAGAGCCATGGCAGTTCCTACCACCCTTCTGGGGACAGGTGTGTGTCTCCGGTCTGCCAGCCGGTACAATGTCCCCGGCTGTGCCCAGCTGGGCTCTTGGCCAACTGGCCAGCAGAGGGCGCCAGCGCGGCGTGGTGCTCCGTGGACCTGGGGAAGGCGGGGGTGAGATTCCTCCTAGGGGCTCGGGGGACCGCAGCAAGTGGGTAGCTCTGGCTCAGTTCCTGCAGCTCAGAGGAGGCCTGGCACTGTGAGGAAGACAGAGGGCAACCCCATGGCTGCTTGGGTGTCGCCTAAGGGTGGAGATGGTGGAAAGGGGGTCCTTCTCCCCCTTCCCTTCCACCTCCAGGGTGCCAAGACTCTGTAAGCCCAGGGCAAGGGGTGATGTGACAGGAAGGAACTTGCCTAAGTGGCCGCTTCCCAGGCCCGTGGCCACCCCGCAGTCCTTCCACCGTGGACTGAGGACTCTCCATCTCCGGTGGCCATGGATGGGCTCAAGCCCTGCCCACCCCAGCGGGTGGGAAGGACGCATCCTTAAAACCTGCCTCTGGAGGGGTCTGCTCTGGCCGAGGACCGGGTAGGGGACACACACGAAGAAGGCTGGCTGGCTGCTCCAAACCTGGCTCAGGCAGCAGCCACCCATCTGGCTGTGGCAATCGGGAAGGGACAGCAAGAGGATGGAGGACGAACCTGCTCGCGGAGCCCCACATGGCTGGGCGTGGTCTGGGGCCCGGCCTGTCTGGGCCCGGGGAGGGTAAGACTCGTCTGTGAGCGCCCAGAGGTCGCAGCCCTGCTCCCGTGGGGGCGGGCAGGCCGGCTCGAGGTGGGGGCCCGAGGGGAGAGCCCCACGTTCAGAGATGGGTGGATGCTTATTTGTACAGAGCACGTCCTGCAGCACTGGGGGGCTGTGAGCTCTCCGCTGGGCTGGTGGCACTACGGAGCTCCGGAAGCTGTGTAAGGTCTCCCTGACGGCTGCCCCGGCTAGCGCTGGTGACAGCAGCCGCGGGGCAGAAGAGGAGGAGGGTCCTGGAGCGAGAGCCGCGCCCAGCAGCAATAGGAGGGAGAAGGGCGGCGACTTACTGTGAACTTCTTACCCCAGTCCTCTTTCCACTGCCACCCCAAGACGGGCTCCGGGCGGAGGGCATAGGGCACTTCCGCGGTCCTCAGACCCGCCAGGGCTCCGCGTCTTTGCAGAAGACCCCGCCCCACTCACCCGGTCTGCCCGGCTCCCAGAGCGACGTTCTCCTCCCATTGGTCAAGAGGCTGGCGCCCGCCACGCCCCCTTTCGGACCCAGGCCGGAGTCGCGCGTGCTGATTCTAGTCCAAGCCGGTTTCCTCCCTACCTCCTCATTAGCCTTTCACCGGGGAAAGTGAGGCTGCAACAGGAGAGCCGAAGTCCAGTCGTAGGCCGAACACTCACCGGTGCTGTTGGGACGCGGGGCTCCGGGTGGCCGCGGACAGCGGCAGGGGGCGCTCGCATCCCGGAGTCGCGCCGCCTCGGCCTCGGCAGGTCCGACGGAGTGGAGGCTGGGTGGGGACGGAAGGGGCCAGGGGCTCGGAGGTCTCCCCCTGGCCTCCCCCTGGCCTCCCCCCGCCGACCTATGAGCGTCTTCACGGCTGGGGGTGTGTGGCTTATTATGCTCCTGGGCCCCCACCCTCCGGTCCCCTCTCCTTGGGGCTTCTGGGCGGCAGGAGTGCCGAGCACCTCGCGCCCACCGCCCTGCACCCGCTGTCACAGCCCGAAGGAAAGTGGCCCCCTTCTCGGTGCCCACGCACGCGTCAGCTCCGCGACACTGCCCCCTGCACGCACCGAGCTTTCCTGTTCTGCGCGTGTCCTTTCCAGAGCGCTGCCCAGGACCCCAGACGCGGGGCCCCTCCAGCCTGGCGGGGCGCGGCGGTGGGAGGGGAAGGGGTGGGGGCGCAGGGCGCAGGCTGGGGCGCGCGGAGGCTGCCGACTGCACCGCCTGCCCTCTCCCGCCCCCGGCTCCGCCTCCTCGCGGGCTCCCCGCCCCATCCCCTGCCGTGCGGGCTGCCTGCAGGCGCGGCTGCGGGTGAACGCCGGCGAGGGAGCGAGCGCCGCGGCTCTGCGCCTCCTCGGACCTCGGACCGCGGCGCCGCACCTCGGAGGGCCGGCCCGGCCCGCTCCCAGCCGTGCGCGCTGCCGCCGCGCGGCGCCAGCCGCTGCTTGCCTCGGGTCCCGGGCGGGACCGGGGCGGTGGAGGGACAACTTGGAAAACTTCTCTGAGGCGGACGGCAGAGACGCGGGGCGCCCGTGGAAGAGGATGTAGGAGGGCGGAGGCTGGCCGCAGGTGTCCCCGGACCTCTTAGGCCCCGTTTGGCCAGGCCATGGGGCTCCAGAGCCTTCAGCGCCGCCCCGGGGCGACACTCGAGCGTAGCTGAGCCGGGGGGCGCGCTGTCCCGCGGTGCGCGCTTGGCGAGCCGCGCTCTCTCCGGCCCCGTCATGGACCACCAGGAGCCCTACTCCGTACAGGCCACCGCCGCCATCGCGGCAGTCATCACCTTCCTCATCCTCTTCACCATCTTCGGCAACGCGCTGGTCATCCTGGCTGTGCTGACCAGCCGCTCCCTGCGTGCGCCGCAGAACCTGTTCCTGGTGTCGCTGGCTGCCGCTGACATCCTGGTGGCCACGCTTATTATCCCTTTCTCGCTGGCCAACGAGCTGCTGGGCTACTGGTACTTCCGGCGCACGTGGTGCGAGGTGTACCTTGCGCTCGACGTGCTCTTCTGTACGTCGTCCATCGTGCATCTGTGCGCCATCAGCCTGGACCGCTACTGGGCGGTGAGCCGCGCGCTGGAGTACAACTCCAAGCGCACCCCGCGCCGCATCAAGTGCATCATCCTCACCGTGTGGCTCATAGCGGCCGTCATCTCGCTGCCGCCCCTCATCTACAAGGGCGACCAGGGCCCCCAGCCCCACGGGCGTCCCCAGTGCAAGCTCAACCAAGAAGCGTGGTACATCCTGGCCTCCAGCATCGGATCTTTCTTTGCTCCCTGCCTCATCATGATCCTGGTTTACCTGCGCATCTACCTGATTGCCAAGCGCAGCCACCGCAGAGGTCCCAGGGCCAAGGGTGGCCCTGGGGAGGGTGAGTCAAACCAGTCTCGTCCTGTCCCTGGGGGGGCTCCAGTCTCAGCCAAGGTGCCACCCCTGGCCTCACCTCCGTCTTCTGCTGGAGAGGCCAACGGACACCCCACGCCCACTGGGGAGAAGGAGGAGGAGGAGACCCCTGAAGATCTTGGGACCGTGACTCTGCCACCCCGCTGGGCTGCACTGCCCACCTCAGGCCAGGGCCAGGAGAAGGGTGTCCGCTTGGCACCTGAGGAGGAAGCTGAAGAGGAGGAGGAGGAGTGTGAGCCTCAGGCCGCGCCAGTCTCTCCTGCCTCCGTGTGCAGCCCACCCCCGCAGCAGCCACAGGGCTCCCGGGTGCTGGCCACCCTGCGTGGCCAGGTGCTGCTGGGCAGGGGCATGGGTGCTGTGGGTGGGCAGTGGTGGCGTCGGCGGACCCAGATGACCCGGGAGAAGCGGTTCACCTTCGTGCTGGCAGTGGTCATCGGTGTCTTTGTGCTGTGCTGGTTCCCCTTCTTCTTCAGCTACAGCCTGGGTGCCATCTGCCCCCAGCACTGCAAGGTGCCCCACGGCCTCTTCCAGTTCTTCTTCTGGATTGGCTACTGCAACAGCTCGCTGAACCCTGTCATCTACACCATCTTCAACCAGGACTTTCGCCGTGCCTTCCGGAGGATCTTGTGCCGCCAGTGGACCCAGACAGGCTGGTGAGCCCGCCTGCCCACTGCCTGCGTGGGGCACATGCCAGGGTTAGCCTGCTTCCCGCCGTGCTTTGTGTGGCTGTCTCCCCGGGGGCTTTCTGGACCCCATCCAGTTCTTGCCGGCCTCATCCTGGGAGCTCCTGGGAGACCGGCGGGCAGAGGGGCCATTCCCAGGGATCCATGGAAGCCTCCCTTTGCTGGCTGTGTGCTGTGGGGACCTCTTCTTCACGCTCTTCCTGAGCACAGGCAGCCTGGGCTGTGCTGAATGAACTTTGGCCTTTCTGAATGTTCCCCAGGAGGGCACCTCCCTTCAGACCTCCGTGGGCCCGTGGGTGGGCTTCCATTTCTTGAGGAGCCTGTGTGCCTTGGCAGGTCACTTGCTTGTGGTGTTTTTGTTTCTTCTTTATACCCTTCCTCCACCCCAAGAGCAGGATGCCAGTTTCCCCATTTCCCAAGAGGGCCTGCTGCTGCTGAGGAGAAGGAAGAGTGAAGACTGTTCACCCATGCTGGGCACCAGGGGCTCATGGGGTGCCAGGGAGGGGTTTATAGGACGGGACTGTCTCTGGACCCTTCTCGCTCCCTTCTGCTTTGGGATCTGAGGCTCCTTTAAAGAACAGAACCATGCATCAGTTTTCTCAGCTGGCCCCCTCTGGGAGGCGGTGGGCATGTGGATGCCTCGATGGCAGCTCCCCGATCGCTGGCATTCACCCCCTGAAAAAATCAGGGCGACAATAGCTCACCGCCTACCTGCCACAGGGAGATGAAAGGCTTTGCAGAAAGCTTTGAGCTCCATGGGAGAAAGCACTGGAGAACCAGCAGATGTGATTATCCAGTGATATAAAAATCCCTTTTTCTGTGTGTTTACCACCACCCGCCTTCCTGGAGACTTGTTCTGTTTCCGGGGTGTGTGAATTCCTGCCCCAGCTTGGAAGTGGGGAATGGCACACAGAATCACTATTTCGAGTTGCAGAAATTCTTTGAGAAGGTGTTCTTGTGCCCACAAAGGTTTGGGGTTATTGTGTTGGGTGACAGCTTCTTGACATGTCACCTGCGACACCAAGAGGGTTTTTTGATGACTTTGGCTCCCACCTCAACGGGGGGATATGTCTTTTGTATTCAGTGGGCAAATTGTTTTCCTGAGACAGCTCAAAATCCCAACACCATGAAAGCAGTCTGTGCTGAGAGCCCAGGAAGGTGGCAGAGTCCCTTGGCAGGGTGTTCGGCAGGCCCCATAGACTCCCCGAGAGCCTCCTGCGCAGGGCCCAGGCAAGGCTTTTGGGCCAGCGGGGTCCTTGTGCAGCGTAACTGATCCCATTTGGGTGGGTCCCTTGCCCATGCCTAGAGCTTTGCGATGATATGTGCCGTGGCAAAGGGGCCTCACCTTCCTGGTTCTCTCCCTGCCCCCAAACCTGGTGTCTGGAACAATTGGACATCTGTACAGGACACTTCCCAGCCTCCCCATGGCCTGTCTGGTTGCACACTGGGCTAGCAGGCCTCCAAGCGTGGGGGGCAGGGGTGGGCTGAGTGGCAGAGGCTCTTGGCACTCTGAAGGGCCTGTCAGACTGGGAAAGATGCTGGGTAGAGAGAATGGTGGGGACCAAAGAGAGCTGCCCCTCCAGGAGGAGGACTGCCCCACCTGATCCTCCCTTGAGTGCAGTTGTGAGCCAGGTCATTGCCCTGTGCTGTGGTGGGGAGGCTGGGCTCAGGGGACCAACTGACTTGTGCCCATCGCTGGCTAATCTTGTGTGCCCTGTGGGACCTTGGTAGTATGGCCTGTAACATGCAAATGTTTTTTAAATGTCTGAGCTATTTTATCAATAAAGGATATTTTGTAATAAGCAAGCAGTGTCCTCACTGTCCAAGGGTTGCCGGAGTAGTTATCTCTCAGCCACTTTGCTGCACCCAGGGGTGTTGGCCCCAAGGGCTGGGGTTCCTTCCAGGGCCAGCATCCTCGGTCATCATCACAAGCCAGTGCTGGTGAGGGGGGGCAGGGAAGCCCAGTACCTGCTGCCTGGGAAGGAGAGGGGGAGGGCTTCCCAGGGCAAGTACCCTGGATTGGGTCTTGGGGAGCAGCTGGTATACAGTCTGGGGTACAGGGCCACCTGCTATTCCCACATTGGCCCAGAACCTATGTTTTTACCATCTTCATGTTTCTTGGGTCCATACTTTGGTTAGGGACAACCAGCTGAGACCCCAATTTGTCCACTACCGTGGGGGGGACATGGGCTTTGCTGACAAAAAAGACTATTTGAAAGCACATTGTGAATAGTGTTTCATTTAATTCTCATACCCTTGGTTTTTGTAAAAGATGAAACAGACTCAAGATCACCCAGCTGGGTCCAGGAACCATAAAACAAAAATTTAGGTGCAGGAGAACTGTGGTGCCCTCTCTGAGTTAGCTCTTATTCAGTGGTGCTGACCACCTGGAAGCTCTGAGACTATATCTGGGTGGATTCAGTAGGCAGCTGTACTGTGATCGATTGCTCATGTCTGTCACTGCTGCAGCATGTGTGAATTTGTGTGCTCAGGCTTCCCATTCCTGACAGTTCAGTAGAATTCAGTCCCTGAATTTGACTGAGGAAAAGACTGAGCCCCAGAGAGGCAATGAGTTGCCTCACGTGGTCTCACACAGACACATGGCAGCAGAGCTGAGTCTATAACCCAGGTTGTCTAGGACTTGCCCTGCCTTCAGGACTCAAGGAGGAACAGGCCCATATCCAGGACACATCTGCCACCACCTGCTGGGTGCCAGACGTGGGGTAGGCTGGTCATCTTCCTTCTTCCGGTGCTGGGAATCTTACCCAGGCCTACAGGCTAGGCAAGCTCTCTACCACTGAGCCACACTGGGCCCCGCTAGGCTTGCCTTCACTGCGATACCTTATTCATTTCTCCGATGAGGAAGCTGAGGGGCAGAGGGCAGGAGGTGAGCAGGGGGCTGGCAGCTCTCAGGCGAAGTGTGCAGTCTTGGTTAGGAAACCTTTTTATGGCATCCCTGGCTGCAGAACAGCCCCAACCCAGAAGACAATTAAAGAGGTGGCAGTGGGAGACCCTGCCTGCTGCCACTGCTGTGGGGGAATCTGGGGCCTTTGCTGGGGACACCTCAAGGGGGCCTTTGGAGCCAACCCCTGCCTCAGGAGAGCTGCTGAGAAATTGGAGCCACTGAGAATTCTTCTGTGGAGCATTGTGGTAGCAGCACTCTTGACTATCCTCTCAGAAGGTTGTGGCCGGTCGTGGTGGTGCACGCCTGAAAACCCAGCACTTAGGGGAGGCTGAGGCAGGAGGATCGCTGTGAATTCAAGGCCAGCCTGGGCTACATAGCAAGACTGTCTCAACAAAATAAAACACAAAGATTCTGGGGGTTGCAGAGCCAGAGGTAGAAGGAGGCATGGGGGTCAATCAGGCCTTGCCCCCTCCCCGCCCTGTGTGTCATTTCCGGTGAGCACGGGTGGTGGTGTGGTGCTGGAAAGGGCATGTGAGGCCCACCCCTTGGGCTTGCTGAGTCTGGGAGGAGGAATCTGGCCTGCTGGGTTGGTACGTGGCAACCTTTGGCTTCCCTGGTGTGCTGGGCATTCTGCTCACAGGGCCTGGGTGGTAGGGCTGGGCCAGGGCTGCATGCCCACCGATGAAGGTCCCAGGGGAGGGGAGGGAGCCCTGGTTCATGTCCTGCCCCTGACACATCTGTTGGGCTGCCCTGAGCAGGGCGAGGTTCCTCTCTGGACCTCGGTGTCCTTGCCTTGCGCCAGGGCTCCCAAGCATGGGGCTCCCTCTGCCCTCCCGGCCGGGCTCCCTGGGAGGTCTGGACACAGAGCTCCTGGCATTCACCAGCCGTTCCCAGGGCCAGGCTCATGGGCGGGACGGGGCTGTGTTTTTCTCACCTTTGTTCCTCAGTGCTGGACTGGGCACAATGTCTGGAGTGCCAGGTCCGCCTGGCTCCTGGGGAGTTGTGTGGTGAGGAGAAGAATCAGGACAGCTCTGAGCTCTTAGGGCCTCACCCGAGATCCATGCTGTTATTATCTATGCTTTACAGAAGGGGACACTGAGGCAGAAGGTAGACTTGCTGAGGTCATCTAGAGTCAAGACAGGAACCCTCCCATTCCAGTCTCAGTGTCACTAGCTGGTACTGGCTTCTGCCTCCTTGACAGCCCTGCAAAGACCCCAGCAGAGACCAGCGGAGACCCCGTGTGGCTCTGGGGTGGGCCCTGCCTGCTGGCACGGTTACCGCAAGAGCCCCGGCAGGGGAGTAGAGCCGTCACCCTCTTGGCACTGCTCACTGTCAGCAGAGGGGCGGGCGCCACCATCTAAAATTAGATCCTGGGATTCTTCGCTTTCGCATCCGTCCTGTCTTCCGGCCGCGCGGGAAGGCTGTGGTCAGGAGGCCGGCGCTGGCCGGGGCCTGGATGTCGGGTCGCACCCTCCCGTTTGCGGGCTCTGATCTTCTCACACCCGGACTGGCTCGGGGCCAAAGGCTCTGCCCTTGGCCTGGCCTTGTGGCTCTATTGATTAGCAGTGATTCCAAAGCCAGAGGCCGTGCTGTGTCCCCAGGGCTCCAGCTCTCCTCCTCCCCATCTCCTTTCCAGCGCTTCCCACTTCCGGGGCCTCAGTGACCACTCCTGCTCCTTGGAGCCTCCCACTGCCTCCTGTGGACCCTCTGGCCTCGGTCCCACCCTGGGGAGACAATCCTGGCTCTTTCTGGCCCCTGTAAACTCCATGGACCAGTGGTGGCTTCTAGGGGACCGGAACAGAATGGAGACCAAAAAAGAGCCCGGGAAGTCAGGGCTATTTCTGTCCCTGCTGTGGCCCGCTGGGGCCCCTGGCTCTCAGGCGGGGGAGTGGGGGAGGTGCTGGCCAGCCCAGGTGGAGGGTCCCGACCTTCCTTTCCCTGTGTGGGGAATGGGCTCCTTTTGAGCTGAGGGATGGAAGGTTTCCAGTCTCAGGTAGCCCGGGCTCCCATACAATGATCCCCCCGCCAGCCACTTCCTGGTTCTCATGGGGACCTGGGGCCACTTCAAGAGGGAAAGGGCTGGGTGGTGATGGAGGGGGACCCAGGTGTCCCTGTGTCCCTTTCCCACCCTGCCCAGCTGCAGCTGCAAGGGAGGGAGCGTGAGAGGCAGCCTGGCCTGAGACTTGGACTCCCTGGGTGCTCAGGGGGAGGGGAGGCAGGGGTTAAACCTCCCGGGCGGAGGGGGGCGGTCGAGACAGCTGCGCCCTGGTCTCTGTGCACTCTTGTGCCTCCTGTCACAGCTGTCCCAGTGGCAACCCAGGCAGGCTGTGGCCCCTCCTCCTCCACTGGCCTGGCCCCTGGAGCCGGGGTGTGTGTGGGGGGCACCCAGCTAGCAGCGTGGGGAGCATTCCTCAGCTTTTCAGAAGCCCGGCAGTGATTCTAGCAGGGCTGCCAAGTTGCTGGGTGACCTGGGGCAGATCCCTTTCCCTCTCTGGGCTTTGGCTTTCGTGTTGATGAAGGGGTGGGACTGGAACAGGTGTGCATGATGTCCTGGACCACCAGGCAGGGCAAAAGAGGAGGGGAAATTGAAGTCTCCGCTCCCCCCCCCCCGTGTTTCCTGTCTTTTTCCTCCCCTCCTGGCCCATCATGCTCCCTCCTCTGTCCTCCTGCCTGCACCCACCCAGCCTCCACCCCATCCCATTCCAGACTCAGTGACCACCCCCTCACCCCCATCAACTCCTGACTGTTCATCAGGGCAGGCGGGACTGGGGGTGGCACCTGCCTGAGCTCAACATTGTTTCTAAACTATGGTTGGGCAGGGGGCAATAGAGGAGGAAGCAAGGAGAGACCATCTAGGCTGGCAAACAGGGGCTGTGGCCCCTGGGGAAACCGGTATTTCCATAGAGCTTGGGGTGACATGGGGAAGATGTGGCTCCACACAGTAGACCAGCGCACCCCACAGCCTGGTGCCAGAGGGAGCTACAGCAGGCCTGTGGCCACGCCCAGGGCCTCTGCTGTGAGGACAGCCCAAGAGCAGGGACTCAGTCTCCTCTTCCGATGGCAGAGCCTGACTCGGAGCAGGTGCCCAGGATGCAGTTCTTACACCAGTGAGTTTTCCAGCAAACTAGGGCTATCCTGGCATTCGTCATTCGAGGCTGGCGACCCTGGACTCTGGGGATGTCTCCGACTCAGGGTTTTCATTTTCTGCTTTGTTTTGTTTTCTCTGTAGTTTCCTAGGGAAATTCTTCTGGGAGAGTCCATTCTGCTTTTGGCTGAGCTAGAACCAGGACTGTTCCCACAGAGCGAGGTAAAGCATCAGGGCACCAGAGGGGCTGGGGCAGGGACTGGCCCTGGAGTCAGGAGATGTAGATGGGGCTCGGTGGGGAGGCGAGGGACAGAGAGGGCATGGCAGGGGTCAGAATCCTGGCTTACTGGCTGTGTGGCTTGAGGCAAACTGCTAAACCTCTCTGAGCCTCAATTCCCTCACCGTTACAAGGGCAAACATTGGCCGCTTTAAATTTGAGAGGTAAGATTCCTCACAGTGTCAGGATGTGGAGTTGGCACCCTGAAAGGCAGAGCCACTGTGGTACTGCAGAACTCCAGGTCCTCTCCAAGGTGAGCCGGTAGAACCTCTTGTCCCAGGTGTCCTTGACCCACCGCTCAGGGACGTCTGGGAAGGAGGGTGGATTCTGTAGCCTGAAGTTAGCTGTGTCCCGCACCCATGCCACTCTACTTATCCTCTCTCACCCCATGCTTCCACAGACTCCCCAATCCCTCCCACAGACAGCTCCAGCAGTTTCTCTCACTGTCCGGCTGGGATGAGGAAGTTCTCAGGCAAATGTGTCAAATACACAACATCTATGCCTATGCGCTTTATGCTGTGCCCATGGCAGACATCAGT